GTAGGATTTTCAGGGGGACTCCTGGGTCCTACGTTACAATCTATACGCTACTAAAATGCGAGGTATATAGGTAGCAGAGGAGTATTTAGCATAAGAATGATTCCCTTTTTCTATCAGTCGATACTTTTACACCTGGGCTAGCTGCCTGAATTTTTTTTAAACTTAAAGCGACTTCTCTGATTGGGTCATGATTGGTTGATCATGCTGTTAGCATCGAAAACTGGCGAGACTCAAACCCGTGGGGCGACTCCCATATAAAAAGACCGGGGTGCTCGTCCTACCTTTTAGGGGTTTTGGCACCTCTTAGAGTGTTAGTGCTTCAAAAGGTCCACAGCGGGAGCTTTTGCAGTACCTTTAAGGGTATTGAACCGAAAAAAATATGACAGTAGTTAATGTATTGTTTTGGAATTGGTACCTCTTAGGGGTGAGAAAAAATTCAAGCCACGCCCACAAAACAGGATCTTGCTACCTTTAGGGGTTTATTTTCAAAAATTCCGACGAGCACCCCCGTCCTTTTTACATGGAAGTCCCCCCCGGGACTCAAATGCTAGATAGAGTAGAGCTGTAACTGCATGGCTTTTCGAGTATGTCTATTGTAACCCTGTCGAGTGAGCCAGTTGCTGTGCTTTTGCCAATGTTTATAGCTGTAATCCCACACGAGCCAAATACTGAAACTGTATGCTTTCGAAATTCTTTATTCATAGCTATTTATCTATTGGATACATAGGGTAAATAAATGAGCTTTTTAGCACTACGATAATTAAAAGATGTCATGGCTTTGCATAAGGAATTGCGTCTGTGAACAATTTTAATTTTGCTTGTACTGTATCTGCAATTAATCAAAACAAAAAGAATTCGTTAGACTAACATGAAGATATTAAATTTTACGTTCAAATCGTTGAGTTTATAGAAGTGTCTGTTAGTCTAAGTAGCTCTATTGTTTCAGTAGGCTCAAAGCAATTATTTCGCCCGATAATCAGGTATATTGCAATTCAATTTCTTTTCTTGAAGTCAGGAACAATTTTATTGGGTTAAAAAAAAGAAAAGATTTTGGGGTGTATACATGAAAGGGCTGTTAGTATCTTAAAAGAATTACAACTCAAAAATTTNAATTTTCATCTATCGGACAAGTACCGCAATGTGGACATTTGCATTCCTCCACTGGTGGTATGACAGGAGCTGGACAACTCAGTGTTAATGGGCACTCTACATCAACCCTTTTACAGAGTGCATCGCGTTCAAAACATTCACAGTTATAACAGATGTTGTTTTTGTGCTTCAGCCAAGTATCATTAGGGTCCGTTACTTCCTCGCATCCTGGAATTAAAAGTAGGCGAGATATTCATATCTCCGATCCATCCCTCCGTTCGTCCGTCCGTCTGTTCATTTATTAATTCCATCAGTCAGTCAATCAGTCAGTCAGTCAGTCAGGAAGCCAGCCAGCCAGCCAGCCGGCCAGCCGGCCAGCCGGCCAGCCAGCCAGTCAGCCAGTCAGTCAGTCAGTCAGTCAGTCAGTCAGGAAGCCAGCCAGCCATTCAGCCAGCCAGTCAGTCAGTCAGTCAGTCAGTCAGTCAGTCAGTCAGTTAGTCCCTTAGTCAACCAGGCAGTCAGGCAGTCAGGCAGTCAGTCAGGCAGTCAGTCAGGCAGTCAGTCAGTCAGTCAGTCAGTCAGTTGTCAGTTAGTCAGCCAGCCAGCCAGTCAGTCAGTCAGGAAGCCAGCCAGCCATTCAGCCAGCCAGTCAGTCAGTCAGCCAGCCAGTCAGTCAGTCAGTCAGTCAGTCAGTCAGTCAGTCCCTTAGTCAACCAGGCAGTCAGGCAGTCAGGCAGTCAGTCAGGCAGTCAGTCAGTCAGTCAGTTGTCAGTTAGTCAGCCAGCCAGCCAGTCAGTCATTCAGCTAGTCAACCATTCAGCCAGCCAGTCAGTCAGCCAGTCAGTCAGCCAGTCAGTCAGCGCCAACGCCTTCTGTGCACGGCATATCCAAGTAATTATATCTATTTCTTACGTGGTTCTTCCTTTATCCAGAAAAAGGACTCCGGATCAACTGGCTGCTGTTAATGAAATATAATTCATATATACCAATTAAAATGCGAAATACATTTATTAAAAACTGGATCATTAGATTACGCATTGGTACGTTTAGCCAAATATAGTAAGCGGAATCGCAATTGTTGGGGGGCGTTTTTTTTAAAATTTGTTTTATGTAATATATCAAACAAGAAAGACAGTGTTGACCACATTTTCAAAAACCGAGAAGAGAGTTGAAAATACGACGCGCGGCGGAGTATTTTTCACGAGCCTCGAGGTGTTTGACAATGTGGTCAAACACTGCATTGAGTGCTGATAGATCTTCTCGATCGAAACTAAAACTAAAGAGAAAATGAAGAATTAGAATTGCAAAAATCTATGCTAATTTTAAAAGATCAGATATCCTAGACCGTCACGGTCATGATTTCCTAGGTTAAAACCTTTTGTGTTATTAATGAGTTTAAGAATTTTGTTTTCTAAATTTTGGGAGACATTTTTGATAAAACAAGTATTCCAATCACGCTTGTTGGATATGAGATGTTTATGGGCAACTATATCTATTATCTTTTATCCCGGCGCGCGATAAGTGACGACGACGTCGACGCCGAGGACGACGCCCAGTCCAATATGAATTTATATTTACCATGTACCAGCGAAGTTTGCGATTGTATAGATCTGTTCGGTACGCCAATTTTAAACGTGCTCAGGCTAAATATGCAATGAGAGCGTTCAATTCCAAATGGAAGTACGAAAAATTAGCCGTCGTCGTTCGTGTTACTCAGTCTGCTGCTCATTAAGCCTTTTGTTTGGTGACGTTCTAATTGCTGTCGTCATCGTGGTTTGCTTGAATTCCCTACTGTACTTCACGAGCGTGCGATGACCGCTTGTTATCTCATAACACACAAAAATCAAAAATTGCTAATTTATTATATATTTAACTGTAAAAAAAAAAGCTTTTGATAACACTATAACTTAAAAATATAAGCTTTTTGCCAATGCGAGGTAAGGTAAGGCAATATAGAGTCTGCATACGAGCTAGGAGGCCTATTAGACCAGCCCTTATCTCCGGTTTCAGTAGCATGAAGTGATAACAAAGGGTAATTCTATTCCCCAAGATGGGTAGTCCATTAAATTCGTCGGTACGCATTTACACACCTGGGGAAAAAAACTGTGAGAGCAGTGCTTTGCCCAATAACTCAGCACAATTTTACCGGCCATGGCTCAAATTCGGACCTCTCTCTTTGAGGGGATTCCACTCAATTTTTCCAATACAATAATATGATCAAAGTTGTTACCTGCTTTACGGGATTACTCGACACCATTCCCACTCCGAGGAGTAACAAACTGACAGCTAGAAACATCTGAAGAAAGAAAAAGATGACATAAATTAAGCTATCCGTTCATTTGCTTGTTATTCAATTTCATTCTTTGAACTGCCTCTCGTTCTACAACCTTAAATCCTCTTTCAGGCACTGGAGACGTTGAAATATATAAGAAGTATGCCCTTTCTTTACGCGAGTTTTAACGCAACCAGTTGATCCTCCGAATCATAACTTCCCGATATCCGTCTTTGGTTTAATGTTTGTTATAATCTTTCCTTTCTGAAGGCCTATATCTTACAATCTAGCTTTTTTTGATAATATGTTTTTGTCTGTCTCTCTAATTTTATTCCTTAAGTGATTATGAGCAGTTATAAACACCAGCAAAACAGGTGTGGAAATACAAGTGCTAATTTATCTTGGTTGATTCTGGCATATGCAAAATGCTTTTTCAAAAATACAATTAAAAGCTCCAGTTTATGGGATTAAAGTCTTTAAACCTTTTAGCACATTTTAAGGGTAATTAGCACCTTCGAACCATAGAATATAGGGGCTATCGCTATCATTATCGTTATCATTTTGCACAATTTTTTCCATCGTTATATCAAAAATTAGCATACATCGACAAGTAACGTAGCAGTTAGTTACGATTAAAAATTTGCGTGCGCAAACAAAAGGCTCACTTTCATTGCCGAATAAAACCGATAGCAATTCTAACAATAAAGAACAGCCTTCTAGGTAAGTTTGTATCAAGGGGTGGTCTGAAATCTATCATTTCCTTGCACAGATCTTCCTTTTTTTCATGCAGCTGAGCTTTGAACTTGTTGATTCAGTTAGTGTAGTTTATTTTTATTTTAAAATTTGGATTGCGCGTTTAAACGCTTGAAACATTACTGCTGGGAAGTTGGCTGTGTACAAGATTACTTTCCAATAAAAGAATGTCTTAAAATCAACAGGATACTGAGGAAGAAAATTGTAACTCCAAACACGTTCTATATTCAAACCAAAGCGAATTTTAAGGTTACGTATGACTGAGGAAAATTAAGACGGTTGTAGACGACTAACTTGAAAAAAATATGGTAATTTTTTCAAGATGAAGAGGCATCGGCTGAAACAACTTACCTTTGATAGCTGACTAGCTATATAGAGGGTGACTTAAGCAGCTCTGAACTCTCCGAAAACAGCTTGAATTTATTGAATTCAAACACTGTAAAGCCTGTATAAGCTGAAGCTTTGTGTCGATGTAAATAGATATTGTAGAGCAAATCAATTTTTAGGCGGTTTAATTGATCAGCACGCCAAAGGTGTTTTTTGCTCAATTTGAAATTAGTTTTTAAGCTTAATTGAACACCTCGCCTAAGGTGATTTTGCTTAATGTGAAACTGCAGACATATCAATCATTTTCCTTTGTTGTATAAATTTCTAACGTCTGCTTTTCGAGCATCATCCGTCATGAAACTAATCGCAGTCCTAATGTTTTCTAACTCAACATCAGTCTGTAGCTTGGCTTTACGGGTTGCCAATTTTGTGCTAAGGATGTCCGTTTTCGCATGAGGTGAACGGAAGCGTTTGTCAGATCAAGTGTCAATCGCTTTAAGTTATGCATTTTACATCTCACCTGTTAGGTGCAAATTGACAGCGTGAAATTACCCAATTTTAAGGTCATGGGAAGTTTCGTAAAATTCGACGCCCGGGGGGCGACTCCCTATAATGGACTATAGGGGGAAGCTGCTTTACCTTTTTCAGGCTCCAGGCATATATATCTAAAAACTACTTTTTTTGTGGTTAACATCTCAATCTCTTCTGGTAATGCTTGTTGTTCTTCCGTAGCATTGTTCATTTACTTCATTCCAAGGGTTTAGAACAGGATGCACGTGAAGGGGGGGGGGGGGTACCTTTCTTCAATAAATCGTATACGAAAGGAGTACCTTTTCTGTAAAAATGGTATACAAAAGGCTAAGGGTTTGGACCTCGGGGCGGAGCCTCCCCATATAAAACTTTGTAGGGTACCCCCCGGAATTCGCTTTAACTCAATAAACGATTATTTACATCATGTTTTGTTAATACCAAAGGATTCACAACAGGAAATTAATCGGACAGAGCCATTCAAGATAATACAAATTTTAATTCTACTGGGCGGGTTGCTGTTTTGCCTGTTGATGGAAAATTAAATACATCAGCATCGCAAAATGTATTAAAATGAACTTTCTTTTACCATTGATAGGTGTGCTGAGTTCTTTTGTTTTTCTAGCATAACTAGAAAACAAAACTGGATTTAAAGTATGTCTAAGGTAAAGCGATAAGACACATGGCAATGTATCCCGAAACAGACACAATACAGTTCTGTTCGATAGTTCAGTTTCAAGTCAGATTCAAGAAACAAATATACTTTGAATCGGGTCAGATCTGTGCAGAAAGTTAAGCAGAAGCAACTATATAAATTTGTACGCCTGAAGGCTGAGAACGGAGCGTCGAGCGAAACTCGAGGCTAGATCAGTCAAAGCATATGGTAATCTAAAGACCTATAGAGGATACGTATTAATCCTCTTAGTCGCCACCGGCCCCATAGTCTTTGGTTCGCCTGCTCAAGCTTGTAACTAACAATTAACAATGAGGGATAGCGTAAAATTTTATTGCCCGGTCCATAATTTCTTTTAAGTTTGGAATTTAGCAGTTTAAAGTTAATTAAAACGAAAACGTGGCGATCTCTTCCTCCGCTGACGTTACTGTTAACCGTCGACAAGTGTTTTTCCATTTAAAATGCGTGTGCCCTGGTTATATTCTTCACGACTACCATCTTGCTTTTAAATTAAAACATGCTGCTCAATTCCCGCCCCTTTTGAGCCTCACATCAAACGCAGTCTAAATTTTAGCGAATTAACTGATCTGATGGCTTCGACTTATATCGACACTTTTCGCATTGTTTTCGTATACCATCCTTAATAAGTTACACACTGAGGCTAGACAATGCCGAATTTTTTTCTGAACTGACCGCTAATAACGTTAACTACAGTGTTCGTTTTCATTTCGGTTGAACGGAGGGACGTTTGCGTATAAGGCTATCGTTTTAAATTATTCATTTTACTCTTCGCTGTTATTGCAAATCGCCAAATTTAAATTACTAAAGTTTGGGCTCTTGAGGAAGTTCGTGAACTGCAATGTGGCTGCCTTAACTCTATTCTCGGGGATTGATTGTTACAGGAGATTTATCAATAAAACGTAGATTTTTCTTTCACTAGGAGGAATCTCCATCTTTGTGATGTTAAGGCCAATCACATAATTAATGGTGCTTGAAACCTGCTGTTAGAACAAAGCCCTTGGAGTTAAGTTTGTAAAGTTGCGAAGCGTAATGTTTATAGAATTTCCTCTAGTATGCAAGCTTATGTAAGTGAAGTTGAGTTGTTCATGCTTGGCTCCAACTCGTGCGACAATTAGCCTTTCAGTAAAATCTAATTTGATTTCTACCTGTAACTGCGTGAGTCAAGACCACAAATTAAAATAGTGACTTGGTGATGAACCGCTTGATATCAAGATCTCGGTTAATACAGGGCACCTTACTGTGGTGCTTAATTCTCCAGCAGAGCAAAAGTCCCTACTTTCATGTCAACTAACTGAATCATCATTTTATTATTCCTTGAATCATTTTTTCGCCCGTCTTTAACAGCTTATCTTAATATCTTTTCTGCTCGTATGGAGCACTAGTATAAAAAAGATCTATCAGTATATACTATCCAGTTGGTATCACATGAAGTTACAAAAGAAAATTGTAAACCAAGCCGAAAGATGAGTTTACCATTGTTATTATTTCTCTTAAATTTTAGACCAGCTCTATGAATTAGAATAGAATAGAATCTTTATCGTATTAAATGGAATTTTTAAATTAAAAGGTGGTTGGCAACGGTTTCCAGCATTGACTTTATTAAGCGTGGCAGTCATAGACGAATTGTCTGTTTTTGCACAATTACTTATAGTATTTTGTCATTAATAAAATGATGTTTGAGAAAGTTAAACCATGTTCAGCAGCCGTTGTCCATTATCTTAAAACCGAACGTTTTAATTTGACTGTAACGTCCGTGAAAACCTGTCTTTATTGCGTTTCAAATTAATTAGCGCTAAGAAAGTAGGACGTCAAGGGAACTCTCTGGTACAGCTTTTGATCACAACTGTAGAGAGAGTCTCTTATTCTTCGGCCATTTCAGCTTGAGTAAAAATAAAAAACAAACTGCGGTCACAAACATAACAAAACAACGTGAACAGCATGTTGTAAAAACCTTGATTCGAGAACGTAACGTTTCGTATGCTTCTACATACATCATCAGAAGTATATAAAACGGTTAGCTGCATTACAATAAATTCAAACGAGAAGACATGGCATCGGCACAACGGGTATCATTTTGTTTCTTTTGTGATTTACATTTCTGGCCGCCAAGTTTGAAAGACAACGCTCCAATATTTCTAGAGATATTCTTGATTCAGTGTTTTACTACTCATGACGTCATTACTTTCCTCATTTATAAAATACAAAAACGTATCAGAATTTGTATCAGAATATAAAAACGGTAATCTCTCTTAAAAGGAAGAAGATATTCCAGAAAGGAAAACGCCATTCTTCTTTATTTTGAAAAGCCTTTCAAATAAACAGCGATTATTTTTCACTTCATAGGCACACAATGATGCCAAAATGGGAAAATGGTTATCAGGCTGGAGATCAAGATCTCCAAGATATGCAAAATCCTTCCATGCCCTAGTACTCCTGGGATGTTTTCTGTTAATGGCGGTTGTTGAAGTTTATTCCCATCATTATTCTTCATTCCTCCTAAATACTGAGTCAGAACACAAGTTTTTCTTCACAAAATGACAACACGAAACAAAAGAAAAGCAGTGAAACCTCCATTTATTGCAGCCATTGAAAGTCAACAAACAAGATGACACTGAGCCTTGAAATCGTGAACGCAGTCAACAAATTATCCGCTTTTCCAACGCTGGCGACGTTGCGAAGCTTTCACCTTTTCCTTTCTTCAAATAAATGTGCATCTTGAAATTCTTCTGATCGATTATGATAAGCTGAGACAAAACATAAGAGAGAGCATGAAGCAAACTGTATTTACGTTACTAAACAGTTCAGTTTGAAGTGTTGCACTATCAATAATACGTAAAACTAATTGACAGTGTAAATTTAAGATAAGCATATGACACTGTCAATTAGGTTTACCTTTTTCCGGTATTGCTAAAATATACTACATAAAAACACGTCCCAATGTAAAATTCTCATTGCACCTGAAGAAGGCTGGTTTGGCCAGCCGAAATATAGTACACCTTCAAAAAAATCATCCTACGTTGTGTCGGTTTCTGCTTTTATATTCTTCATTTTATATGTGAAGCCGATTAGATCACTATTGATCCAACGTATACCGGCAGGATCATCGTTCCGGTTGCTTGCTTAAACACTTTATAGCCTCCTTTTTTGGAGTACTATGGCCTTAAAAAACACGTTACCGTCACACATGCAAAATAAATAGTAGTTCTCTTTACAGTGTGGTCTCCTCTCTCGCTAACCTTCTCTGTTCTCTTGTCACTTGGTTTTTACTGCTCCTTGTCGTCTTGCTCCACACCGTCATCAAGTGATATCATGTCCTTCTTGAATGGGAAAGGGAAAGGAAAGGATGGAGGTGCTCTTGTCGTGGTCAACAAGATCGTGAATACGGGTCCTGTGGTCGGGTTTGGGGTTGCTGTGTAGAGTTCAAGGCAAGGTGATAATATTTTAACAAATTCATTGAGATAATATTAATCTGTCTCATTATCACTACGACTTCGTGCGCCTTATCATTATATCAGATTATATCAGCGACACTCAAGATCTCGGTTCTAATCGAACTAAGTTAACTATGAACAACATCATTTGCAAATTGAATTTCTCTACTTTCATCGCTTAACTTTTCATCATCATCATCAACATCATTGTGTTGCTTAACAACTCCACTGGAGAGAGCCGCAGGCTCAGCTGGCAGTCATTTACCGTACAGAAAAAGATGGCTACTTGTACAAGTACCCATAACTCTTAGCGCATAAAACCCAACTATGTTAGCAAAAACGCATAGAAAAGTTCTAAAGCTTCAAATCTAACATACACAATGTTGTTAATGCGGAGACAAGTTTTTCTCAAAATGGGAATTTCTATATGCCTAAAATATTGCCTGTGTCAGGCTTACAAGGCATTGTAAGAAAATTTACAGCAGCCATCTTTTCCCTGTGTTGGATTCCTGCGGTCGATGTCCCTGGGAAAATTTCCTTCCCATCTGCCACCCTACCGTCTGAAAATGGGCGTCCATCTTCAGAGCGGACAAGCATGTCTCGTACCGTGGGTCACCTGTAGAAACACTCTTTTAAACTTATTCCAGGCAAGTTTTTGTTGTTCTTACCGCAGCGAGGGCAGCATACTCCTTCTTCACCGGTTACCCAGTTGTCGCAGACTTCTATCGGTGGACCTCCCAGGCCGATGTCGCAATAGTAAGAATTACAGTCAGTAATATCTCCCGCAGAACACAGGCAGCTCGTACACAAGGCTTGATCAATAGGGTAAGTAATGTTATGAAGAATGATAGTATCTCCATGGTTGTATGACTTGTCGCTGACGTTGCACGTGGCTGGTAATGAAATAAACATTAACATTTTAGTTTACGCGCGCATTAGGTAAAAGGTAAAGTCAGTATATGCGCCAGACCGGAGCTTACCGCTTTTTGTTGCTTGAAGTGATTAGGAGTATTTCTACTACCCCTATATGGGAAGCTTGTCCATCGCAGAGGTTACCCCCAGCACTAAATATGCCGGTACCCATTTGTACACCTGGGTGGAGAGGGGTACTGTGAGAGTAAAGTGCGTTGCCCAAGAACATCCAGGGCTCGAACTCGGACCGCTCGATCCGGAGTTGAGCACACTAACCATGCACGAGGACACTGTGCATGCATACAAGTATATCATATTGTCAGTCATGAATATATTATACCTAAACTTTGCCGGTAAACGAAGATGGACTTTCTTGACCCCACATTTGCTTTGCATCTCTTTGGATTCAGTGTAGGAATAGCGGCGTTCGGCTTCCATTGCGTTTCGTTCCCCTTTCGGCAAAAAATGTTTCGTCCTATCTTCTGGATTCCAATGATTTCGTAATCGTTTTCACGTGCCATTTGAATGCACTTATCGAGGCCTGTTCCTGACGAGGCTTTAACCTTCTTGTAAGCGGATTTACGAAAGATTCCCAGAATCTTCAGTTTCTTAAAACTGTAACAACCCATACTTTTATAATTCTCAAGGACTAAAAATTAAAGACAAGAGAAAATAAAAGCATTAGATTGAAGCGACAAAGGAAATGGAACATGTACTAATAAAATCACAATATTGACTCGCGGGTCTGCGAACACGCAGATTTGATATTTTCAGGATACAATGAAAAAATGAAAAAATAAAAATTAATAAACTAAATAAGTCCATGCTGTAAGCTTGCATCATCATTGAAAACGCAGAGGCTCTAAAAAGGTTGAAGCAGCTCGGATTGGCTAGTCTATCGCAAGTCCCCTCAGCGCCGACTTTTTGCAGCGATTTTTTTTTATTTAAACATATTTGTCATTGTTTTCCCCAAAAGCACCTAGACTTATCAAAGGGGATTACAATGTAGTAGTTTAAAAAGTTTAAAGTTTTTAGGTTGTCGACCAAAAAACGATTTTTTTTATCTCTCCCGCTTACCTTCATTTTCATTGCAGCAAGTCTCGTCCACCCTTTTCTCTGATATTTAATCTTATCTGGAGGCAGGCCCCTGAGGTAGAAGTTAGATATGACTTGAAATAATTTGGTAACCTTGCTCTTTCGGCGAAAGAGATCTTTTTCTTGCTCTTTCGATAGAGCGTGCAAACCGCGCCAGGTGATTACGTCACAAGCTGCATTAATTCATTTACACCTGGCATAAAAATAGGAAGCTTAAGTAACGACGACGACGGCGTCACCGAGGACGACGCCTAGTAAGAAATGAATTTATATTTTACCTTCGAATTTCTCATTGTCTAGATCTGTTCAGCACGCCAATGGCTCTAAGAACTTGCTCAGGCTAAATATGTAATGACAACGTTCAGTTCCACACGGAAATACGAAAAATTAGCTGTCGACGTTCCCGTTCCCCAAACTACGTAGAACTTGGTCATTTCATGTTGTTGTCTTGCGGAGGACGGCTAAGAAATGTACAAAGATTTTTAACGCCGGCACGTGAAGTTATTGTTTTGCTCATTAAACCTTTTGTTTTGTGACGTTCTCGTTGCCGTCGTCGTGGTTTGCTTAAACTCCTTAATATGATAATGTCGTCAAAAGACGTGAGAGCGTGGGTGAGGATTGTGGGTCATGGCAAATGTCGTGGGACGTTGGCAGTAAAATTACAAATAAGCCGTTTTAGATGAGACATAAACAAATGATAATTCGTAATATAATTCATGATCAAATTCCCTATACCAACCGATCTACGAGCTTGTAATGTAGGTTTCTCTGCTGGACGATTGCTTTCGTACTTTGGAAATGAACAATCACAAAGGGAAAAAATACTTACTGAAAGAGTAAACGGGGGATTATGTGATTACTTTGATTGCAAGTGTGAAGCGCAGATTAATCGCACAATTAGTAAGAGTCATAACATAGTATTTGTCTCTCGCTTTGATTGACTTGTTTGCGTCAGGAAGCAGGAACTGAAGGTTCCCAGTCATAAATCACGCCTCGTGTTTATTGGGACCAACGCCGCTATTTGATTATATCTTTTTGTTTCCCCGCAATCCTAACACGTGCTTTGTGAGAGAACAAAAATGTACGATCTAAAAGCAATAAGTTCGGGAAGTACGCGAAAATCAAGCAAGAACTAAAAAAAAGAGGAAGTCATGATACTTTGACAGAACTAGTCAATAACTCTCGGGAAATGCCCCTGACAAGGCAATGGCCAGAAAAAAATAATGACTGAGGCAATGTCCATAAAAAAATTACGACTGAGGCAATGCCCATGGTTAAATTCTCTTGGTAGGTGTTTAGTGTGTTCTTGGATGAATACACAGCAAAAAAACGAATAGAAATGATTGAGGCAAGTGCCTCGGTTTGCCTCAGTTACTAGCTACGGGCCTTCCCGTCGTCACAACTTATAGTCCTTATAAGATGGCCTTGGTCAGGCCTTAGTTAGGTTACTCATATAGCCAAGAGAAATGTTTTACCCGCTGAGATTAGCGAGGTCTGCAAAATTTAATACTTGACTGTTTAATAACTTAAATAATCTCACTTCATATATGCAGACACCTTTCTTTCTCTACTAGACAAGTGAACGTTGGCAAAGCAACATTTGCACTTCTGGAAAAATTCCCACAACACACAATCAGCTCACATCATGGCTTTAATCAATTCTTTCAACCTACCTTGGTTCTTCGTGGTTGACTTGTTGTGTCAGTTGGCGTTTTAATACCTCAAATGATCGAATCTGCCGAACAAAATTCCTGTTGTACTTTCTCTTTCAAGCATACAGCCTTAACTATATAATCTAATGAGGGAGAGCTTTCTAAGTGCGGAGGAAGTTAATGGCGTTTCGAATTGCGTTGGGATTTGTAGTTTATTGCAAGGAAATTACTTTTAAGTCTGCTTTGTCATTTTTGATCCCAATTCGTGATCAATCGCTTAATTTTTCATTTAATGTGTCTTACTAATGATACGATACGGCCGTAAGAAAACAATCCCTGCTTAGAGTACGCATTTCCTAGCAATTAAATTTAAATGTGGACAGCGTTATTTTATATTTTTATGCACTTATAACGTAGCTGAGTATCTTGATAACATTGTATTTTAGTCAAAACGTCTTGTAATATGCATGTGTCGTTTACCATAGCTCGCAGGTGTAAATTTGAAACTTGTATTGTGGATTTTAATACGAGCGCTTAATGGCTAAGACAATTTATGAATTGCTCTTGTGTTCTATAAAAAGTGGTATTAATTTTGTTCGTTAACCTAAATTCGTGTCACTGCTGTCAATCTTATGTCTTGATTTTGAGGCCGGCTCATGATTATCGATTAATTTTGTTGGTGATGCCTGACTAATTAACGGCGCAAGTCCGAGAGTAAACGCGTGTCACAGGCTATACCTCAAGAAAACGGAATTTCTCGTTAGAATCATTTTCTATTTCCAGTTTATATAGGATTGACAGGTATTTTGATAAAAATACATTAAAACCCGCGTGGACGTGTTTAACGAGCCCCGTTAAACAACGTCTGTTTGAGTACAATTTTCAGTGAAAATATGACGTGGTAAAAAAACTGATTGAATGGCATAAATTATTATCTGATTCTGTCCCGTTGAGTAGTTTCAATTGTGTCATGCAAGACCTTTTTTTGAGTTCCCAAAGTTATGATGTCTCTCGCAACCTCCCCTTCAGAATCAAGAAACCTATATACAGGAGAAGATAAAAAAATAGTAATGTAATTATTTAAATCCCACATGCAATCTGTTCACTTCGTTTACGCTCTCATTTCTTATGATTATGCGTTGAACGGAGAAATTATACTGCTTTAAAATACCTTAAAATGCACTCCTCGTTTCATGGACGAGCTGGGGTTTTCGACGATGTCACTATAAGAAAACTTTTGATGTAAAAATGGGTTTGGGTAACTCGAGTTATTCCTTGACGACGTCCCATGACAACCATCGACCAATCACAAGGGATTCCTCACACGAGAGACACAAGCTATCCCAGAAATCTCAGTCCTGAATGCTAGTCCTCAGTGCTTTGATTTGATACCGTTCTGCTCGTCCCAGACCTCAATTTTTTTACCTAGCAAAAACCCATAAAATTGCTAAAAATAAGCTTGAAATGTCTGTCCCATCTCCTGTTCCCTCGATTGACAGAATTGTTTGTTCTCAGTTTTAATTTTACGACGCATTTCTAGTGTAGGATCTTTTTAAGTTTAATAATGATAATTTTCGATCGGAAGAGAACGTAATGAAGTAATCAAGACGCTTATTATTTCCTAAATTTCTATCTTGCAATTTCTTCAATAACACTGTATTGGATTTTTCTTTTTCCCGTCAAATTCTAATCTACGACAAAATTCATTTTTTTCTCGGCAAACAACC